AACTCTCTTGTAATTATTAAGGCCCCGATACTAGGCTAGTTTCCCCAAACTCCCTTGTACAAGGGGGACCTGGGTACAAAAAGACAGCGGAGTAAAAGAAGATTGGGTCTTAAGCCTTGGGCCCTGCACGGCTTCTATGCCCCCCTAACGAAGCCCTGAGTCTTACTTAACTCCTCAGCCCTAAACCCCCAGAAGCTTCGTTAGGCAAAGAGCTGAGAGAAGGCCTTGACTGTCGTTCATGTGCGGCACAGGGCGTCATGCCATCAGATTCATGGTGATGCGCTGTCGCTGCTGATGATGATGCTAGCAAACATGGTGACGGCCAGGATGCTGTCGCTTCTGATGATGATGGTGATGCCAACGAAGACAGCGAGTGCACTGACCAGAACGCTTCGACATTTGTTCGAACATGTCCGCATCTTCACAGAAGTGTGACGTCCGTGCTCTCACAAGGCCATGCGCCTGACGAAGCGACCCCAGCGGCCAGCAATGACAGTCCTGAGGGATCCAAGGTAGGGCAGAGGGTGGCAACCAGGGCTTCTAGTGAGGTTGAGGAACCCTAAACCCTAGACCGGAAGCCCTAAACCCTAAGCCCCAACTGCAAGGGCTTCTGGAAGCCTTACAGGTCCCGGAAGGCACGGAAGGGATTTGGGATTTGGAGGTCAATCCGCGAATCTCGGAACCAACTACCCTTCAAATTGTGAGACACGCTTCAAGAGCGCAGAAAGTAGGAGCCTCGAATAGACGCACCGCGCTCATCGTGACCCTAAATGAATGCATAGCCAGCCTCAGTTCCTGAACCCTGGACCCGACGCCCTACCTACACCCTAAACCCCAAGCCCTAAATCCGAAACCTTTAACCCTATAATGTCAGGGCTAAGAGGCTGAGGATTCCTGCGCCCCTCAATGCCGATAGCTTGCGAAGCTTCGCCATCTCACCTTCCCCGACGATCCTTCTCGGGAGATTAGGGCTTTTCAGGAAACTTTGATACTAGACCTGTATTCGGGAGCCCTAGGGAATAGTACGGCCTTTGTTAAAATGATGGGCTGACTTGTTGGTTTTCGGTAGTATGTCGAAGATAGTTTATATAGTGTATGCTATACATTCTTAGGTAAAATATACTATATATTGTATATGATACATTATACACTATATTGTAGTATGTATGTATGTATGTACGTATGTATGTATGTATATATAAATGTATGTATATCTATATATATATATATATATACAAATATAATATGTACATCTACATATATTAGGGAGTTTCCGTGGTCTCATTGCGCTGCCTTTTCTCTCGGCCCAACTCCCAGGAGTCTCGCGGTCTTTGCAAGCTCTCTTGGAATTCGGAGCGGCTGCCATTTCTAGGAGCTTTCGGGTTCCTTTAAGGGTAGTATAGGGTTCTAAAATAGGCTCCCCTTTAGGGGGTTTTAGGGTTTCCGGTTTAGCCATCCTTCGTCGAGGCATCCTGAGACCTTCGACGTAGGCCCTTGTCATGTTAGGGCTAAGGGTGTTTAGGCTTTGGGTTTGGGTGATAGATCTTCCCCGCCATTCCAAGAGGAGTATCGTCATGTATAGGCCTTTCAGGACACTTCTTGGGCACTCCTTACATTATATTTTGGTGTAGTGTATTGTATTCTATTAGATTACATGGTAACATATGATATCCTATCACAATAATCACCGCTTTGCCGAGATGTTCTAAGCCAGTTCTTACTTACGCAGAGAAGCTTCGGACCTAGAGCTCAACGGTCTCGGCTCCTCTGTGCACCTACGTGCCCTCATATGGGTAGTTCTCGAAATTAGGGCCCCTTTGAGGTCTCCGAAAAAAGTACGGCACTCTTGTAGCCCTAATAAAAAGGACCCTTAAAGGGATCTTAACTTAGAGAACTACCCATGGAAGCAACCGAATAGACAAGTAGATTATAGTTAAGTAAACACATAGACATAATATGTATACACACACATAAATACACATATGTGCACATTTTGTGCAAGTATGTGCACATGCTCTTACGCTTTCTTTGTGTGCATACATACAGCATGCCGACAGGCATGCCCTAAACCCCACACTAGCTAGGTCGAGCTGTCAGCCCACATGCAGTTTCATCTTCGTCTTGAACTCCACACTTCCAACAACCCTAAACCCCCACATCCCCCACCCCCTAAAACCGTAAAGCGTTGTCTTGTTTCTCTCTTAGTTTGACGGGCCAACCCAGAGACTCAGAGAGCCCGGTACCCCTCAAGCAAGGATCATTTCGGAAATCAAGTTAATGATTTGAGGAGTCTCCTTAAGTGAGAGATATTTCTCTGAGAATGCAGCCTCGACCCCAGCAAATTCAGCGAGCCCGGCTGGTGAGGCTTGCCGTTTAAGGTCTAGGGTTTAGGGTTGTCTTGAAGATTCTTGCGCTGTTTCGGAAGGGTGAGATGCTGTGAAAAGTGTGTTTTGGGGGCTTCGCAAGGGTTCTGGAAGGGCTTTAATGCGGCTCTTCGTGTGTTGCAGATTAGGGAGGGAAGTGCAGGGCTGGAGGGAGGATATCGGCACGACTGAGGAGTTTGGCTTTGTGCTTTTCAATTTTGGGTTGCGGCCAACACCTGCGGGGCTGAGGGGAATGGGACATGGCTCACGGCATACGAGATTTGGATTGTCGTAGTTCATTCAAGTCTCCTGTAGTGCATATACTAGTCGATATTATGGTTTGTTGTATAACTAGTGTCGGAACGAAGCAAGAAGCCTCAGCGGTTGTGGCTCTCCGCCTCTTTTGCTGCTCGGTGAAAGGCCGAGGACTCGCACATGACCCCAAACACGAGGCGAAGACTTGTAGGTCCTAGGGGTCGGAAAGTTTGGTAGTACTATTTCTTGGGTTCCTTATCAGTCTTAGTACTACTGTTCTTACCATTGTTGCTACTATTGCTATGATCATTACTATTAGTATTATTATTGACTACCTGTGTCTCCGTGCCGTCGTGCCGAAAGCAGCCATGCGGGGCTGCGTCCGCGTTTGCCAGCGAGGCGTGAAATTCATGCAGCTGGGGGCAGTCCATGCTCGGCTCGCCTTCCTTTCCCTAATAGGGGCAATCAGGGGTGCCCTATACTGTAAGGGGGCTTTGTACAAAGATCCCACCATAAAGCATCTGTATCAGGGGATGTCTCAGACAGATCTCATCCGATGTCAGGCACAAAACGCATGAACACTGCAAGGTCACAACCCGACAAGACGGATCAGAACCCAAACTCGGATGATAAGCTAGGGGCTAGACTCCAATTCAAATTGAACAGCAGTCCCCATAAACCCTACACCCTAAAACTAAGAGAAGCCCTAGATTCCATGGTTTGCATCAATGCTTGGACAGCAAGAGTGGCAATGCTAGCAGTCTCGTCAGATCACCAAACCCCACAGTCAGGGAAAACGTCCCAAGTCCGCATTCCAGCTTAATGCCCCAAGAAAAAGGTTTGCAAGGAATGCGACGACCAGACAGCCGCTTCCAACTTTGGAAAAGTCTGAGCTGGATTTTGGGACGATGCAGTGGAATTTGGGGCACTTCTCCTTTGCTTCTTGCTAGGTACGGTTGGGGTCTTGGGTTTTTTTGGCTTTGTGCTTCTGGGCTTTCAGGATCTGAAACCCCTTGTTTCACGCCGGGTTTTGTGGCTTCCTGGTGGCTTCAAGACGGAACTAGCAACGTCCGGTGAAGCTGTCAGCTGCTCTAACCCTTGTACGTGGGAATGAGTTACTTCCATGATCATTCATTCGTTTTGCGGGGTGGAATCTGTTGCTGTAGTCTGACGGTTGCAATGATGATGACGACGACGATGATGATGCTGCTGCCGTGCCACCACGACGACGATGACAACTGCTACTACGATGCTTGTAGTAGTAATAGTAGTCGTCGTCGTCGTCGCCATCGTCGCAGTAGTAGTAGTTGTAGTA